GGCCACCTTCTCACTGTGTCCTCACGTGGTAGACCGAGAGTGAGCTCTGGGGTCTCTTCTTGTAAGGACACTAATCCCATCTCGAGGGTCCCACCCACGGGACGGCATCTAACGCCAATCACCTCCCGAAGGCCCCACCTCCAAATACAATCCCACTGGGATTAGGGCTTCAGCGTAAGGATTTGGGGCAGACACAGACATTCCAGCCATAACACTTCCCAGTGTTTACTCTCTCTTAACAGCCATAGATTACTCTTTCCTCTCTGGAAGGGATCTGGTGTAGCAGGAAGTAGCAAAGGCTTTTGGGGACTTTGGGGGTGGTGCATGAAAGAAGGGATCACCCCGCAAGGTCTTTGTTTATTTATGATTATTTTAGACTTTCCTGCTTCCTGCAGCACTTGTTATGGAACAACCCTCCGAACCCTTGCGCGGGGGAGATTGCCTCGTTTTCTTGTAGGCTCCTAGTTACAGATGGGTCAGAATGCATTTTAATTGCTTATGGCTTCCCCACAAACAGAAATGGGCACGATGCACTCTATTAAACAACCTGCAGCACAGTCATTTTAAGGAAATGTTTTATGCTCTTTTAATGGTACTATTCATCATCCACAAACTTGCCAGCGCGGCCGGAGCGCCCGTGTCTCCCGCAGCGCACGCGGCGAGTCCTGCTCTCTGCGCGGCGTCCGTTAGGGGTTAGCTGTGCGGGTGGGTGAGCTCACAGAACTGCAGCCCAGGTTTTCCAAAAGAGATGTGCCTTGCTGTGGAGTTGGATTCCATCTGGGGATTTCATATCCTCAGGAAGACAGAGAATCTTCATGTTATAGGACAGGCAGAAACCACCTGGAACCTGGGCTTCTTGTGACATTTGTCTCTGGTGTGGAGGGAGAGGGACAGCATCGTGTGGTCAGAGGAGTCAGCGTTGCAGGGGGGACGTGCCAGGCAGCCCTCCTTGGGCCAGCGTGTGGGGTCTGCGCGCCTCCTCGCTGGGTTCTGATAGTTTGGGTCTAACCCTGGCCCCTGTTGGGTTTTCATTCCTACTAGTCTTGAGCAGTTTTTTTTTGACCACTCTTTTACCCTGGTCTCTGTCCCAGGGCCTCCCTCCCCCACTCCGAGACCCCCGTAAGGGGTCACGGGTAAAAGCAGCCCGGATGACAGAGAGAAAGAGCCGAGGGTGCCGCTTTTCATTTTTCTCCGTTTTTGTGTCTTTGATGTTGTCTCTGGAAATCCCCATCGTTTTCTGTGAGTTGGTTCTTTTCCTACCACGCCGAGGTGGGTCTCCCTCTCTGCCCACTTCCAGATTGCTGGAAAAGGGGGTTTGTTTGTGCTCCCCTGGACGTGCAGCCTCTAGTTTTCTGGTTCTCCCTGGACCCTGCGCTTGTGTCCTCTGGGATTTGATCCCTGGAGTCCCCTGAGTGTCCTCCCCTCACTCAGGGGGGATGCCGGGAGTGTGTCCCCGGGTGTCCCTCTCGCCCTCGTGGAGCAGTGTGTAGGGCTCTGTGAGCTGGTCCCTTTGCCTGCTTTACGGGCCCCTGTGATAAGCAGTGTCTTCCTCAGCTCACCTGTGGGGATCATGCAGTCTCCGCGGAAGTGTGCTTTGAGGCCCCGCTGTGTGCCCCAAAATATGGCAGCTGCTACTAAGAAGAATCACGTTCTCTGTTGGTTCTGACTTAGAAATGCCAAATTGGAAAAAAGACTCCCCCAGAGGTAGAAGAGTATACAGGAAGTGCTAGAAAGGATTATAGACAGTAGATACAGGGAGCGGAAACGTTGTGACAGGCAAGCCTTTGTGTGTGTTTGTGCAACTGAACAATGATCCGGGCAGTGAGCGTGTTGATGACTCGGCCAGTTCTGGCAGCGTCTCAACACCTATTGTAATTATGTCCTGAAAAGATTGAATAAACTGCTAAAATGGGCTTACAGCTCAAGGTGAGTTCAGAAGCTATGAGGATCAAAATATATGGCTCCATGCTAAAAAGCAGACATGGAAGAAATTAAAAATATAGTCCCAAAGGTTTAATGTTGCCTTTTAACTGTGCTTAAATTCATATTCATATCCTAAGTGTCTGTCTGAAGTCATCTGGGTTGATATAGTGAAGGTATAAACATATCTACTTCCAGCGAGGGCCTCTGCAAATCCTATTTTGATAAGGCCTTAAATCTGTTGAGACCAGGCCATAAAATTCTCCTGCAGTTTTAGCAATAGGTAAAAACAGGGCTCAACTGTTTTTTTTTTTCTTTTAATTTTGCATTCCTGCTGTGTAACCTCCATCCATAAATCTCTCTCCCCCCACTGCCTAAGGAAAATATGGGCAACGTGTGGTGTGTTAAGCAAGATTTCAAGTGTAAATATTCAACTTGGTTGGTAAATTTTAATTTACCTTTTAATAATTTTCTGCCTTACAGGGACTATTTTTAGCACACGAGAGCTTAGAGATTTAGTCAAAAATATGTTGTAATAACAGCACATGCCAGATAAGAGTCGTTTGTAGTTTAGGAATGTATCAGGTAATAAGTTCCTCATCAGCGGGTGTTGCTTCCTGGGTGATACATGGAATTTTGGCCCATGGATGACTGAAGATTTTGCTGATGTGATTAATACCATTAAGTTACTTACAGAATGCCAACAAAATGCATGCAAATATTCCCCGAAGAAGAGCCCTATTAAGTTGATTCTTCATTTCTGACAGCAGAATCCCAAGTTGCCATTTAATTTCAGAAAATCCTTTTAGCAGGTGGCCGTTTATGGCGGGCAGGGTGTGAACTCTTATGGTGTCTGAGCATGCCAAGCTATTAGGAAGGACTGAGGGAAAAAATGCGAGAAAGAACCACCCAGCAGAACATCCGAGTCCTTAAACTCTCCTGTGGTTTGCTGTTGCTACAGAAATCTATCCTTTGAAGATGGCCTCTGAATGGAAATGTGCTCTGGAAAAATCCCTTATTGACGCTGCGAAATTTCCTCTTCCAATGGAAGTGTTCAAGGTAAGAAGTTGATTCATAGCAGTCTATCTATTCTTTTCACGAATAAAATGCTTAAAAGGTTTTCTACATCAAACTATTTCCCACTTCGAAAAGCTACCTTCTTGGCCGGCTTCCATTTTAAATGTTTAAGGTTTTGTCTGTTCCATTTGGCTATTGTTTTGTGTGTGTGATCTTTCTAAAGACCCATATTACAAGATGCTGATTCAGTTTTTTTAGGTTTACTGTTTTTCTCCTTGATGAATTAGTATAGAAATCTCGATTTTACCTGCTCACTTCCCACCCCAGAAATAAAAGAAAATATCGCAAGTCTGATTTTGCTGTTTGTTTGGTAAAAATGGTAGAAAATGATGCTTCTCATGATGGTTCAACTTTCTCAATGGCTCAGGAACGTTGTCCTGAGTGTCTGCTACGTACCAGGCCTTCCCCAGGTGTCCTGCGGCACGCTGGGCTGTGGAACATGTCCCCACCGAAGCGATCGCCGAGTTCTTGACGCTTCTAAAATTATGCTGCAAACTTACATGAAATAGAATATTAAGTTGTGGGCAGGAATGATCCATTTGGGTCAGAGGAAATCATAGAACCAACCCTGCGTATTTGGAGCTGGAGTACCTGGGAGGCCGCTGCACCCCGTTGGTTTCCTTGGACAGCTCTCGATGTGGCCGCGGTGGACGGATGTCAAGCTGCTTCTCGGCTCCCAGGAGACACGTTTCTGCAGCGCAGCTAAAGTTTCATAGGGAAGGTGGTGACATTAGAATGGTGTTTGGGCGCCGCACGCAGCAGGACTTTTAGGCTTTGGCTAGGGTGTGGGCTTCCTGGATTTTCGTGACAAGTAAGCCCTCACCCAGGCTGTTAAGCCCTCACGGCAAATCACTGACCTTTTTTTCAGCACCTCCCCTGTTTGTAAAATTGGATGCAATTAAGACCACTTCTTCTCACAGAAACCAGGGGCGGCCACAGGTGCTCGCTGCCAGTGTCCCAGCAGCCGGGAGGGGCGGAGAGGGCCGGGGCGTCGGCCCTCAGTGTGGGTCGGTGCCAGCCACGCCGCGGACCGGGCACCGTCTGTTCCAGCCTCTTCAGGGAGCACTGGGAGGGGGCGGCTGGTCTCACGGGGGGGCTCAGGGAGAACATCAAGGGGCGCAGCTGCTTCCCAGTCATGTCCCCACGCTTATTTTACGAACTCTCGCCCACCCCAGTTGCAGGCGTGTCTGGTGTTCCTTGTTTCTGCCCCTCTCGAGGATTCCGGGCATTCATCGCGCTGGTTCTCAGCTTTCCCGCCGAAGGCTCGGGGTTTGGCTTTGCCGACTGTGTTACATTACCTCCTTCTTGTTCACCAGCTTTTCCGCTTCCATGCCTTTGTAGCCGCTGAGTGGGTTTGTATCTTTTTTTAAAAAAATACCTCTTGACTGTGGTTTTGGTTAGAATTTAGGAGGAGGTAACACTGATGTGGGTTTTGAGTCTGCCATCCTCACCCGGCGCTGCCATTTAAAAAAATCTCAGCGTGTGGACTCCAGGGTGCAGTAAAGCTTCCACGCGCACCCAAGACTCACGGGGCCAGGTGGGGTTGTGCCGGCTTCCCTGTCCTGCCCTGTGCCCCTCCTCTGCGTGCAGGGCCGCACCACGCCGGCCTCCTTTTATGTTCCTGAAACGCCCATAGTCCCTGTTTGGTTCTTTTTGTTAAATTCCTACCCATCCTTCAATCTCAACTATAATTTCCCTAAAGGAATCCTTCCCCGGACACCTGGCCTCTTCCCTGGCCCAGATTCCTTGCATAATATCCATCCGTTTTTGCCTGACTTTGAGGCTCCAGGAAGGCAAGGACTGTCTGTCTCATCCATTGTTGGGAACATCATTTCTTGACCGTAGGAGTAGGAAGTAAATATCTGTCAAATAAACGAACTAATTCTTGAATGGACGTAAGTCTTTAACTCCCTGAATTTAAAAATTTGGAGTTAATGTAGTGGATAGATTAATTGGCTCTGCAGACCTGGGATTTGGGACTGTGACTACTAAGATTCAAAAGGTATACACATTAGTAATCCTCATCTGTTTGTAGTTAGAAGTTAACTAATTCATTAAACGTTGGTTAGCAGCTATTCTTTGCGAAAGGCTATTTAGGTGCTGTTGACCTGGTTCCGGGGTTGAATAGTTTGTTTAAATTTTCCAAAATACAGTTAGTTTTCTCCTATGAGAAATCAAACTGTTATTTTGATCGAGTACCTGAGAGTTACCATCTTAGTCAATATTTTGTACATCATTAAGAGCTGCTTAATGCTTTAAGATAGATACAAGGCAGGGCATGGGGGTGAGGCACCTCATAAACAAAAGCTGGTTGCATTGCATATTAGGTGTTCTTAAAGCTTGTGAGATACTTTTATAAATGTTTGCTTTTGTTTTAATTCGATGGAAGAGAAGTGGGCTGTTTCAACTATATTTTGTATGGAGCAAATATTTATACATTTTAATTTTGAGGGCATGAGAACACCACTTTATTAGTGTTTCCTAAGTGTTGTAACAAATGACCATGAACTGGCTGACTTAAAACAACAGAAATTTATTCTCTATACTTCCGGAGGCTGGAATTTGAAGTCGAGGTGTTGGCAGGGCCACACTCCCACTCGGGGTCCTTGCTTCTCAGGGTCGCCTGCAGTGGGTGGCATTCCCGGGCTTGTGGCAGTTTCATTCTGTTCTCTGGCTCCATCTGCACACGTCCCTCTCTGCTCTGTGTCTG